ACTTTCGGTGCGTCAACTTTTTATCAAAACTTTACTTGTATATACCTACTCTAATCAAGATTTGATAGTGACGCCAATCACACATAACTATTCCACCAGAGGAGCTGTAAATGATGGTACGTGAAATGAAATAGACTATGGAGTTGTCCAGGGCAGTACGCTGGGACCATCCCTTTTTTTGATTTACATAAATAATTTAGACAAACTTCCAATCACAGGAAAGCTCTTTTTATTTGCCGACGACACTGCAGTTATATTCAAAGGTAATACTTGGGACCAAACATTCAATGTAGCACAAACAGATATGTTCCTTATTCAAAAATGGTTCTCCCAAAATGTATTATCAATGAATTTTTTAAAAACAAAATATATGCCAATTTTCCTCAGACAAAGTAGTGAGCCTCCCACCAACCTCAGACTTGTGATGCATGTTTGTGGAGATCCAGGTGTCTCTACCTGTGGTTGTTTACATTTAGAGAGAGTAGATCATTACAAGTACTTGGGAGTGATATTGGATAGTAGGTTAAGATGGAAACCCCATATTGAATATGTAAAGACAAAACTTAGGAAATTAATTTATGTTTTTAGAAACGTTCGCGAAATTCTTAACATTAATGAAATAAAAAAGTTATACTATGCATTTGTCCAATCAGTACTTCAATATGGAATTATAGTATGGGGAGGAGCTAGTAGCAATATTTTAAAGCCTCTGTTTGTCATACAAAAACTAATTATTAAAATAGCTTTTCAATCCAACAGGCGTTTCCCTACAAATGTATTATTCAAAAACACTCAATTACTTTCGGTGCGTCAACTTTTTATCAAAACTTTACTTGTATATACCTACTCTAATCAAGATTTGATAGTGACGCCAATCACACATAACTATTCCACCAGAGGAGCTGTAAATGTAGGTATTCAGGTACCCCGAGTTTTCAAGTCTGCAAACCTTACTAATGCTTTTTATATTGCGAATTTTTTGTATAGGATATACCATCAGAGATTAGAGATCTACAGGTATCTCTTCCAGTTTACAAACGTTCGGTAAGCAGTTGGCTGTCGGATATTGGGCTCGATCAGTCTGAGACACTTATCGGTTCAGTATACATGACCTAAAATAATTATAATTATACACAAGTACGCCAAACAATATTTAGCGTACATATACACGCTAAATATAGCGTACTGCAACTCCATTCACTCGACTACCTTTTATTTAGCATTAACTGTTCCTGTAGCTGTCTCATAGCTTAGTTGTAAATAGTTTTTTGATTAATTTAGTTTTAATTTTTAAGAATATTTCTAATTTGTAATAGAGCTCGTCCCGCGCACAGGTCTTTTATGGCCTATGCGGGACTATTGTTCGTATTTTGTATATGTATATATTGTAAATTTTTGGAAATAAAGCAGATTTTGATTTGATTTGATTTGATTTTGACAAACATCAAACAGCTGACAAATAATCCTACTAATATTATAAATGAGAAAGTTTGGATGTATGGATGTATGTATGTTTGTGACAAGTAAACATGAAAAATACTGGTCGGATTGGGCTGAAATTTGGCATGACGATAGCTCACATTCCCGATTAACATATAGGCATATTCTTATCTCAAAAATCCTTTTGGGCTCCGCCCCAGTCAGTGGCTCTGCAGTTCCCCATGTTAACCTTATGAGTATTCATATTTAAAGGGAATTAAAGAATTTAGCCAGCTGTTTCAACTAAAAGAGTTGGTTCTATGATATGCAAAAGCATTAAAAATTTATAAGATATACCAACAGGGTGCAGCACTATTTTTTTTTCATTATTTATGAAAACAGCTAATCTATATACTTATTTAATATGAAAGCAGGTTTTTTGTGACAATTACTCCTCCGAACTACTGAACCGATTGTCATGTTTTTGGTGTCATTGGAAAGAGTGTAACGTGAAGTTGTGCAGGAAACTTTCTTTTTAAGGAAATAATTAGAGAGTGAGGCCCTGGGGCCCTTTAAAGTTTCATATTTCTCCATAAGGATAACATGGGAGATGATTTTTATTTACAGAAACATAAGTTTGTTACTTGAAAATAGTCCAAGTCTACTACATAATAATTGCTGTGTGTTATGACTGTTAATGTATACTACATTTCAATCAAGGATTGTGTACCTTTGAGTTTGCAGTTATGAAAGCACCAAGCCAAGTGACTTTTATCTAATTTTCTTTATAAACTAACAGTATTAAAGTACATGAACTTGTCAAGTTAGGTAATTAACTGTCAGTATGCCAAGGGGAAGAAGAGTGGGTCCTCGAAAACAGACAAAGGCGGAGACACCCATCTAGAAACTCCAACTGAGTTTTTAAATATAGAGGTCAGTGGATTGCCAAGACACAGATTAGACTAATAAAAGGGGGCAGTGGTTTTATTGATGTGGAATATTAATACATCAAAAAGGGCCTCATTAATGGCACAAGGCTTCATGTGATCAGCATTGCTAACAACTTAATAGAATGTAAAGTCTTAACTGGGACAAGTGAGTGGGGACATATTTTGATTTGGAGGATAAAAATGTGCCTGTCTGAAACAAACTTAAGTTACCTTTTAAAATGGAAAGATGCTAATTTATGTTATCTTTGGCATTTGCAGCACAAGCACTTTATTTAAAGATCAGCACTGTTCTTACCCAGATCAATTTCAGTCATGAGCAACTATATTGTATGTTGTTTTAAGTAAGGCTACATCTTTTAATAGGATACGCATATTCATTACGGAAAATTCTGACCAGGGTAATCTTCCTGAAGGTAACTTTAAGACTAAAATCGTAGTATTCGTGGAAGTGCTTTTGTGATAAAAATATTGTTTTTTAAGTGTTTATTTTTAAAATTATATTCTTCAAACAGCATTGTAAGACCCTCAAAATATGCTTCATAGGCCTATTGGTTTGATATGATAAAATGTTTTGTTAAATGTGTTTTAAAAATCTTTAAAAAATAACTAGGAACACACTTGAACTTGAACACTTATTAATTTACTAAATATAATACACATACAGCTAGAAAATGGCTGGACTGCTTCCCTTCTAAGGCTTTATTGTTACTGTATTTAATTTTCAACGTCGAGTCAATATATAACAGGATGAATTTGTTTTCTAAATTCATATGTTATTTTGCGGGGCATTGAGCCGCACAGGTTCACTAGTTTGAACTAAGCAGCAACAAAAAACTGTGATACACAATGAGAACTGTCAAAGTAGGATTGTTTACAGTTATGTTTATGTTTTAATTTCAGGAATAATTTATGATATTTTGTGATTTTTTAATAATCTATCTTTCTCTATTGTGTAGGTGAAGTAGTAGAACATTATGGCTATGGTAGATGTGTAATACTATCGCATACCGTAAATTTGAGGAAGCAAATTTTCTCAAAGCGTGTTTTCTCACATCGCAAACGCAAAGATCGGGTATAACTGCAATAAGTATTTTATACTTATTTGCCAACCCCGTACGAAGGACGGGTACTCTGCTAGTTTATAATAATTATAAGTGAATTTTATATTCTTCAATAAGAATTGTGTTCACTCAACCTTTGAAGGGCTGTAGGATGTAACCCTTAGAAAAAACGTAAACTCTAAGGAAATTTAGCAAATATACGCATTATCCCCTTTAATTTGACACATAAATCTCGTAGATCGGTCCAGTCTTAGAGAAATCTGACTTACAACTGTGTATTAAATATACTGCATATAAGAAGATTCATAATTAATTATCAAACAAGAAATTCCATAAACTTAGTTTTACCAATCCCAAGACTAGAAAATAAAGAAAAGTATGCAAAGAGTCACAAATCTCAACAAGTCAACAAAAAATACATTTTTGTTTACAAAATTCCAGAATCATTTAAGTTGTTGGATTTAAAATCATTCAAAATAAGATTCATGATTGGCTTACTGGTCACACATTGTTATTCTATAAAGTATTATTAGAATGTAATAAATATTGTAAACTAAGTGTTGGGTCCTTTATTGACTATGTGTGTTTTGTACTAGTACAAGTATATTTTTTGTTTTACTGTTTTTATTGCTTAGTTTATTTATTTTGTTGTTACTACTTTCAATTTATATTGATTTTACTTTATTATTATTATCATCTTGGCACTGTCTTTCAATGTAAAAGTGATGAAACCTATTGTAATCTTAATCTTGTATTACTAAATAATGGTAAATAAACTTCTTGATTCTTGATAACTGCTTCTGTGTTATAGCATAACCTATGAGAACTAGCAGATGATCACGTATAATCTAAATGGAGACCTATAAATTCAAACTATCCTATATACAAATAAAACCTATAAATCTAGACGGATTATGGCTATTACCAAGTTAACATTTTTAATTATGTTTTTTCTCAATATGGTAGTCATTACATTTCCGAGCAAGTTGCTCGGAAATCCTCTTTTTATACTACTGTAAAACTATCAGCAGACTAAGGCAAGAGGTGTTTGCTAGCCCTCTGGGTGCTGGGTGCATTAAGAAACAATGGTTGAGTCTGCTGATTTGTTATAGATGATAGAACTTAAAGGCTTGTTAAGTTTGTTTGTATCCATACATTTACAGGCAGCCTTCTGAAACCACATGGAAAAGGGAATTCCTAACAGGAAATATCTCTAATTAAAGCCATAAGTTTTATTAATATAGAAAAAGCTCACTATCTTTAATCAAATTCTCTGAACCAATGTAATTTTAAACCTGCAAAAAGCTATTATGGACCTTCTGTTTTATACACAGAGAGTCTCCGATAACATTAGTGAAACTTAAACCATAAAGCAGAGTGATTTTATTATTTTAATATTTTAAGTTATTACACGCTAAAATTGAAATCACTACTGTCTGGTAATTGTTAACACTGAGAGCCAGACGAGGTAGGGAACCAAAGTGATTAATGCTTGTCTCATGCTGAGTTTATTATTAGCACTCGGACCCCTGCCAAGCTGCTGCTGCTACTGAGCGAGTTACGAGTTACAAACTTAGCGGCAGTGCCTCGGTCTTCCTTTGCTCATTTGACAAAATGAGAACCTGTTAAAGCGTTCCAAGATTTGTTTCCTGGTGCTGTTATACTGAGCTAATAGGTGTTGTGATTTGATTTCAAGTGTTTAGGTTTTCAATAGTTATTTAAGAACCAGAGTTCTAAATTTTTAAGCATGTTTCAGTTGAATTCTAAGAAAGGTAGGTGTGGGTTGGATTTAAAGTTATTTTAAGAGTGATTATCATAAACGTTTTAATGCTGTTCATATTTCATTTTCTTGCTGAAGTACTGCTGCTGGCAGTAATACAAAATATTTTACTTACCTATTTTTTGTTTAAATATGTTTGAAATTAGTTTTAAAAATATTGTTTTTATTTAGTTTCTTAAAATATTATCCCAATCTTATTTCCTGTAGACAAGCAAGTAGGTACTTTTTTCAGTAATTTTTTTACATTAGTTCCAGCGTGGATTTGTAAAAAATCCAAACTTTAAAAAAGTAGGTGATTCAATCCTTGAGTATTTATTTTAATTGAATGTTGAATGTAGAACTCCTTCATTACATAATCATAACAAGTTTCAAACATATGTTTGAAGTAAAGGTTGGAATAAATACCTGAAACTTTTAATACAGTTTTTTTTTCAGACTGTACATTGTTGAAACAATAATTTAAGACTCAGCTGATGTCTTTTAGTAACATTATTGATTGAGTTGAATATGAGCATGCTTCTTTAAGCAATTTGCTGCTTGCAGAATTGTAAAGAAATGTTTGCAAACAATTTTACTACTTAGTTTGATTTATCGTCTTTACACAAACAAGCATTTGGTAAAAATAAACTCAATTCTCCTGACTTTGATTTATATATATATGTTTTAAACAGATAACTTAGGAGAGGAAAACATTTTACAACGATCGAATAATATATAATAAATTATGTTCATTTTGAGCTACGTAGTAATTTTTAACACTTTAAATTATCATTATTGGTCAGCAGGGAATCCTAAAGAAATCTATTAGTGTATTTTAACGCCTCTTTTAAAACCATTTGCCTAGTGAACAAGAAGTATTAATACAGTGAGTGTTGCACGACGTCCAATGAAATATGTCAGTGTCATGACGTCCAAAATATAATTTTTTAGCCTTTTCACGACGTCCAATATAAAATATTAGATTGTTGCACCACGACCAAAAGTGCAGTAACTGCTCTGGACGTCATGAGATTGGTTGTCGTGCAACAGCGTACTTTATAATCTTGAAAACTTAGCAGAGCACCACGTCCAAAGCCACTGCCAGTTGCACGACGTCCAATATCTCAGTGCTGTTGTACGACGTCCAGAGCTTCTGCATACGGAGCAAGGTTAGATCAATTTTAAGTTAGGTTGGGTTAGTATGCACTAAAGACAGTAAAACAGTACTAATAGTATGCACTATGCAGACGCTCTGAACGTCGCGGGACTGCGCTGAGCTATTGGACATCGTGCAACTGGCAGAGGCTTTAGACGTGTTGCAACTGCTACTTTTTTTAAAGTGTAAAGTGGGCTGTTTCATGACGGCCAATCCCACGACGTCCAAAGTAGAAATATTTATACTGGACGTCGTTAAACAGCTCAAAAATTATATTTTGGACATCGTGCAATGCATTATTCATAGAGTTCTTTTACTTTAAAAATTCTAAATACTGTAGCATTAATGTCATGTACTCCACTCCCCCTCTCTTTTCATAATAAAAAAAGGTTATGTTAACCTATACTTTATGGTCATTCACCTAAAATCGTTCACTTTCAAATGTTTGATGGTGAAAATGAAGAGTGCAAACATCAAACCAAATTGTCACTCCCAAGTATTCATAATATTGATTGGAACATGGAGAAAAATTTGATACAGTGTTTTTTAAATTTCATTTTTATTATAAAGATCAAAGTATAGACAATTTTCAACAAATAGTGTCATTTTCAGTAAATTCCATGTCAAAATATTCTATTCTTAAGACAAATATTGAAAGATGTGAAATATTAATGATGCTGTGTGTTATTTCCCGTCACAATTCTCATTAGAGTATCCACTTTAGAGTAGCACTTTAATTTTTTTTTTTTTTTAAGATTTTGGACCATTTCCTTCAACAAGTGATATTAAGTTCCGATGGCGTTAAAATACATAAAAAACAAAGCAAACCCTGCTACCATTATAACCTTTAATTAGTTTGAAATCCATAAAATGTGCTACTAATACTGGCATGTAGATTTCATGAGGTTTTGGGAATATTCAATTAGTATTACTTAATTGGTATACCTTAAATAAATAATTATATTTTCTTAAAGATTACATCATTATTCTTAAAGAAAATTTAATTTTTATTACAGTATAGTCCTGACTATCCAAAATTCATACTATCTGAGTTACCGTTTTAGTTGATCTACCTGTGGCAATCGAGTTCCTGAATCTGTGTTTTATTTCTACAAGGTAAAACTGCACTCTATTGCAGGAGCTGATGTACAACCCCACATTCAAAGCTATTAGTTCGTCTTCTCTAGAAACCACTAGTGGCTATACTTTTTCTATAAAAAAGGTTCACCAAAATAGTAAAACACAACTACTGTAAGCATAAATTGTAAAGTATACTCAGACACAGGTCTCCATTTATGAAGCAATTAAGACAAGAGGGGTTGCACAAAAGGGGTTGCTTTTAGGGTAGCATGTTTTGGACATATGCATATGTGAAATTGACAAACTGTGAAGTATTTTTTGTGCTAAAAGAATCGGAAAGTACAATCAAGTGCATAGCTATCTTCTGAAAACAGTCAAGGTCAACAATAGTTATTTGTGTAACTAGTGGGCAAAGTGGCACTTTGCTGCACACGAGAGCGACTTGTGCAGAATGATCTCGAGTGCAGCAAAGGCCTTTTGCACTCGTGTTACACATTATATTTTTCCTACAGCCACTACATAGCATATAAATAATTAGTCTTTCAAACACTATACAACATCCCATCACACCATCAGTTACAGCATTGTGAAAGTAACAAGTGCAAAAGTGGTAGTGAAAAGCAGAGTACAAGTGGTAACAACAAGCAGAATACAAGTAGTACTAATAGTAAAGATATTTTTTTAGAGAAATAGATAATTTTACTGATGCACATGTCAAGTTAGGGTCCGATAGTAAATTTGGAAAAGATATGTTTTTATTACATTTTAACATTCAGGGTTTTCTAAACAACTATGTGGACCTTAATCTGTTTATTGGAAATATGGATTGCAAAATTAATGTTATATCTATAAATGAACATTGGCTTGATGTTAAAAGTATTAATGTTTTAAATAAACTAGATGGTTTTGTAATTGCTGACTACTATGCTAGAATAGATCAATGGCGGGGGGGTTCATGTTTAATGATTGACAAAAATGTTAGTTTTAAGATTAGAAATGACTTAAAATTTTTAAATGAACAATGTTCTTTTGAAGGATCTTTTATTGAAGTCAAGGACTGGAATTCAGTTTTCATTTCAGTATACAGAATTCCAGGTAGGGACATAGATAAAATATTTTTAGAAAAGTTTGAAATGTTATTAGACAAAATAGCTTTGGAAGCAATGTCAAAAAATGTTTTTATAATGTCAGACACAAATATAGATTTATTTACCGATAAAGTAAGTACTGATAATTTACTAGAAATTTGTGATTGTTTTGGATTCAAACCTAACGTTCTTGTTCCAACTAGGGTAACCAGTATTTCAAGTACTTGCATTGACAATATTATTTCTAACTTGCAGACAAAAAAAACTAGCAGTTTAGTTTTAGACATAGGTGCATCAGACCACAAAGTTTTACTTTTGTCATTTGAGAAAATGTCCTCTCCAAGACTTAAGGGTGTAAATAAAAAACTTACTCGGAAGTTTACAGAAACAAATTTTCAAACCTTTGAAAACACACTAAATAATGTTATTTGGAACCCTTTTGAAACCTTTAATGTAGATACAAATTACAATAAATTTTTTACAAACTTTCTAAATTTATTCAACGAGGCATTCCCCAAAACAGTAGATCGTCCAAAGAATAAACGTAACAAAAATAACTGGATAACAACAGGAATAAAAATTTCAGCAGAAAATAAAAATAAGTTGCACCAAGAATCAAAATGGAATCGTAACCCTCAGTTTTTAATCTATTACAAAAACTACAGAAAGGTCTTTAAAAAAGTAGTTGCATTAGCAAAACTGAAAGCCAATGACGATTTTATTAAAAAATCTAAGAATAAAAGTAAAGCATCTTGGGTAGTAGTGAAAAATGAAACAGGACTTAATAAACAAATATCTGATACTCCAGTTGAGATTAAATTCAAACATGAAAGGGATATACAAAATTGTGCAGTATTGGTAGCAAATAAATTCAATAACTTTTTTATTAATGTTTCTCAGTATGCCAACAAATCAACAGATAAATTAAAAGCCACTCAGTTACTAATCGAAAATCATCCACGTTCCAAATTAACATTTAAATTTAGAAATGTTTCAATTGACGAGTTAAGAAAAGTTGTTACATCTCTCAGTAACACTAAGTCCTCAGGTTGGGATGAAATTCCTCTTTTTGTCATTAAAAGAGTTTTTAAATTTATAGAACATCCATTATGCCAAATAGTGAATCAGTCCCTTGAGGGGGGGGTTTTTCCTGATAAGCTAAAGTTGGCTGAGATTAAACCTCTGTTCAAAGAGGGCGATGTCAACGATCCCTCTAACTACCGCCCCATCGCCCTTCTGCCTTGTTTTCCAAAGATTTTTGAAATTGTAAAGATTCAACTAACAGAATATTTAGAAAGCAATAATTTAATAAATCCTTCACAGTTTGGTTTCCGCCCAGAACTCGGTACTGAAAAATCCATAACAAAAATGATTAACTACATTGCGGAAGCCTTGGATGGATCGCAGAAGACTGTGGGTGTGCTATGTGACCTATCCAAGGCTTTTGACTGTGTGAATCATGAGATACTCATAGAAAAATTAAGTATGCATGGAATAAAAAATACTGAATTAAAATGGTTCATATCATATTTAAAGACCCGAAAACAAAGACTTATTTTACAAAAAATGCAGAGAAATTATAAATCAGAGTGGAACATTAACCCCAATGGAGTTCCTCAGGGCTCCATTCTCGGCCCTTGTTTATTTATTATTTATGTTAATGATCTATGCAATGCTACTAAGATGTCCACCTTTCAATACGCAGATGATACCGCTTTAATATGCACAGGGCAAAACAATGAGTTCATTCAAGCCTCAATAACTAAGGAATTTCAACTCCTTGGGGATTGGTTTGCAGTAAATGGCCTGTCCATGAATGTGGCAAAAACTCAACTAATTCAGTTTTCTGCATCCAATATTAACCAAGAAATAATTGTAAATACAAACTTAACTACAATTCATTCACAACAGTCAATAAATTATTTGGGAATAGAAATTGATTCACAACTAAATTGGCAAAAACACATTAAAAACCTATCAAAAAGACTACGCTCAGCAACATTTGTTCTCACAATAATTCGGGATACTACTAATCTAGAAACACAAATAGTAGTATATCACGCATATTTTTCATCGATTATGAATTATGGAATTACTGTATGGGGCTCATCAAGCCAGGCCAAAAAAATATTTATTCTCCAAAAAAGAGCTGTAAGATTAATGGCCAGAGTCTCCCGTAGAACACATTGTAAAGATTTATTTATTAATTTTAAAATTTTAACTTTTTTTAGCTCTTATATTTACAAATTGGCATTAATGGTTAAAAGTGATTTTGACACATTCATGGACTGTCAACAATCTCATCCACATAACACAAGATTCAAAAATATTATAAAACCAGTTCAACATAGGCTTAAAATCTTTCATTTATCCCCTCAGTATATGGGACCAAAAATTTACAATAAATTACCCGCTGGGATTAAAAACATTGCCTCATTCTATAAATTTAAACTATCTTTAAAAAATTTCCTTTTGGAGAGGGCATTTTACTCGTTAGAGGAATATCTGGAAAATGAGTATATTTGAAAGATATTGCTTCTCCCATAGGTTTGTAGCTTATTATATGCTTTATTTCTTTTGTAAGCTATTTTATTTTAAAATGTAGTATAGTATTAGTATTAGACTTTGTGACAAATCACCTGTCAAGAGAATTGATGTAATGTGATGATGTTTAATAAATAAATAAAATAAATAAACACGTTTTTAGGTTCAGCTGGCAACACAAAAAGGTGCCCTAGAGAAAGTAGTCCCTGGTCCGTATCACTCCGCTATTTTTCCTCGGCAAGAAATGTGCTCCGCGACTTGAGAATATAGTTCCGTATGTTTTTGTAATTTGAAGTGGTTTCCGCGCCTAAAAAAATGCTTTAAAGGTATTTTCTTGTTTATTAAGATCGTAGGAATGTTTTAAAAACGTTTAAAAGAAAAGTCCAGAAAGTTTAGAAATACCGCAACTATAAACACAAAATGACAGGTTAAATCGTAGTTATAATAGTCAATCAGCTGCTCATAGTATCAAGGCAGCCAACCTTGATACTGCTCTTTTGTCTTTTGCTACTCTTTTTGTTACTCTTTTGCTTCAAGTGTTGCCAACCTATTTCCAAGCGTACACGGATTACGTGCATAATAGAACCACGCTGTTTTGTGTTGTTTTGTTGGAATCCTGAAGTGCGCCAAAGTATAAACCGTACGACAAGGTATAAATATGCAGCAATTAGCAGCTTTCTGTACTATAAACAGTACAAGGAAGCCAACTTTGTCGGGTGACTGTAGGAAAAAGAAGTTGATGACAAACCTGCTATGGTGTACAGTCATACAAATGGAAAACAGCCATTTGAATACTGAAACCTTACAACCATTTGTCAGAAATGGAACGAGATTTCACGATACTCGATCGTCATCAGAGAGGATGGAAGGTCTGATAACCTAGGGAATGGATGATTCAGATATTAGCATAGACAACACACGAAACCCACGGATATATTGTGGAAATACAGTAGTTACTAAGAGTGAAAAACAGAAACAACAAACAACAAGTTTGTATATAAAATATTTGCTCCTGTGTTGTAGCCAGCCGCAGAGAAGGCCCCGGAGCGTACCACTTGGCTGTCTCTACAGGGTTCATCGTCCTCACATCTCTCATCGCGTTCTGGTTGCGTAAACTCCTGGACAGAGTGTTTCCAGAGTCAACTCTCACTAAAGTCCTTCTGCTAGAGTTGATAGCTGCCGGAGAACTATGTGCTTGCTGCTTTGAACTCATCATTGGTTGGTGTCATTAAGTTGAGGATACATGTTCATTGTTATTCATTATTTGATCTGCAGCAATTAGGCACCCTCAGTAAGGTTTAGGGTATTGTTACCCTGGAACAAGAAAAGGTGCAACAGTAAAACAGAGACAGACAGGACAACTGGTGTATCACAGCTGGCCTGAGTTACTCTAGTGACAAATTTGTTTACATTTTTATTCCACTTGTAATGTGAAATGTGTAAATCTCAGTCAGAGGGCCCGTGCTGCTGCAATCCCTTCCCCACAGTTTTAACATTGACTACAACACAACCTAGAATATAAAATAAGACAAGTAAAATGTACATTTTGAGATTTTTTCACAATTAGATATGAAAAATAACCCACTAAAAGTTTATCTCAATTAACCAACCAAACAATCAACACTGAATTAGGATAAATATCATGTTTTCATTTTAGTAGAGGGCAGAGTAGAAGACCATCAAAGTATTCCCAGTCCCTATTCAGTGTGTCTAAAAGTTTTGAAACTGTACCCATTTCCTAAACATTGGGACTATAAATGGTCCTGTCGATAGAAAGAGCAGACAACAAAGTAACTAAGCTATCATCTCATTAATTTATTTAACTTGTAACATAAGCCAGTTTCAAGAACAGTTTTAATAAATTACCTTTTTGTTTTATGTTGCCTTAACATTCATTATTGCCTTAAAATATGCACAGTGACATGTTCGCATCGTAACTATTTGATCTAATACACAGCATCGTTCAATTTCAGTGGCAGACAACTTTGGCGTCGGAATGTACGCCATCTTCTTGTTCCTGTTGACCATCTGGTGGTCTATGAACTGGGGAGATGCCACGGCCTGTCCTTATACCCATCTGGAGGAGGTGGTGGAAGGCAACATAAACGTCCTTATTGCAGGAGCAAAGATATTCGCTGAGATGGCCGGTGGACTCCTCATCTTCAAGTATCGTATTGTAGGATATGCTCTCAACTCACTTATGTTTTAAGCACTAGACATTTTTCACACTAAAATACAATATAGATTTTTTTCATTCCTTCTACACTAAGGTTGTTTTTACTTTTACTTTTCTTTTCATCAATGTGTTCAAACAAGCAAGTTTTTTGTTCTATATAATAAATTAACTCATATTTCAAAAACAAAATCAATTTCCAATTTTGTTAAGGATATGTTTTATTTTTACCAAGAACTAAGTTATTTGTACAAGGTATTTTTTTAAAGCATTGAATTAGGGATACAAAATCTATATGAACAAACTCAACAATTGGTAAATATTACTGTTAATATAAACACATAAATAGGTAAATGTGACTGATGGCAGATTGGTTAAATACATTTACAGTGGTTGAAAAAATTAAAATAATTATTGTAGTAAATGTTTAGTTATTACAAAATTCTAACCACATATGCACTAAATATGTTTTTACTATTCCACAATAGTTTTGTTTTAAAGTTATTTTATATTACCTATATTTGTGTTGTCTTTACTCTAGATTGAGCTAGCTCTTTAGCTCTTTGAGCTAGATGTTTCTGTATCACCCTATTGTGTGGCATTTTCAAGGGATATTTACAAACATTTACACAATTTACCAGTATCCCAGTCGGGTTGAGCGAATTATAAATCAAATCAAATCATGTTTATTACTTTTTAACTACAGAGCTTATAGATAAATGCACAGGTGCTTCGTAATTTTTCTTTTAGCCTAATATTGTATAATGTCCTGTCTTAAAATGTATTTAGTAATAACTAGCTGTTTACTCACGGGCTTTATCCCTTTTGACTTCATAAGTATTGGTATTACTAAAACAATTGATTCAATAAGTAAGCTGAAATAAACAAAACCGAATACAGTAATACAAACAAATAATCACACCTGATTTTAATAAGGTAATAAATTGAAAGAATAACAAACAAATAAGTACAGCTGAGGTAGGGCAATTTATGATATAATGGATAGTTTTGCGCAAGGTTTCTCATCATGACGAACATTTTAAGTATATGGTTTATGGGGGTGTGACTTTTAGTGTTCTCAAAAGTTCATGGGTACTTTTTAATTTATATATGGTGTAAAAAAAAGAACCTTTTTCTTCTATTTTTATATTTTTAAATATTATTTCAATATATTTTTCACTCCCCTTGTTATCACCTCAATATTTCTCTAACAATTTAATCTTTACAGATGTTGGTTGCCCCTGGGTTGAAAGAACTTGGAAAGTATAATATCAGACAGAGCTTTTGGCAGTGGAAACTTGATGTTATAAAATATTTTGTGGGCCCTATAAAATAAAAATACTTCCCAGAGATCCTTATGGGACGTCCCTGATACTGTTTGAAGTTCTTCCAAAATAATATGAAGCTTAATAAATAATCTTAAAGTTACACTGAATTTAATCTGCTCACTACCACACTAGTGTTTAGTGTTACACTTAAAATGTGAATCTTTTGTAGTGGCCTGTTATTTACTGAATTATACCAAACTTCTATTGAATAACTATTATTGCTAATAACGATTTGCCAAGGTTATTGAGAACTAAAAAGTGAGTAACAATCTGATTTATTGAACAGTATTTATATAAATTATACACTTTAATTTTGTTTTGGCAACTACTTATCAAATATTTTTGTGACTGTCTTTTGTCTTACAAGGTTAAATGATGACTGAATTCTGACTTAGAGTGCAAGAGTGCAACAATCAATTAAAAACTTTTTCCTTTTTAAAGATGACAAATGGACTTATCAAAAGGGAAGTTATGGTGCGGTTACACACTGATTCCGAACATGTCAAAAGAGGTGTGATATTTACTTTAACATTTGAGATGACCAGTACCAAGCAAATCCTGTTCGTTGGCCAACGAATTAAAAAACGAAGGTCGAGTCTTGTAGTCAAACTGATTAAACAATGTTCTGTTTAATCGCAGTAGTATGTACTAGAATATTGCTTATTATTTTATGGCTAAGAAGGTACTTTGGCGGTTCATCTATTCACAAACTCTCACGACCTCCATTAACACCTCCGTATCTAGTCGAACCAGCTACCTGCTCCCACTTTTAATATTATTTAATTTCCCCCAAATATAGTAATGACTGTGGCACTCTTAAATAACCTCTAATTTAATATCTAAACAACATTGAACAATGACTTTGTCGTGAATTGGTGTAATTAGAATAATTTACAATTTACATTCAATATAAGTACAAAATCCTATACAATTTCATTAATCCTACATAATTATCACAGTATACTAAACAATGCAGATTGATTTATAAGAAATAAATATTAAAAATACTGGTGAAAGCTAGAACCTGAGAACATGTGCTAATATAACAGGAAATGACAAACTATAACAAGAAAATTTTACACATGTGCGACTCACTGAAACCTAATATTTGACAATAAATAACATAAACTACTTAAAAATTTCGGACGTCCTACAAAGACACAGACATATACACTGGGATGGGGAAAGGGAACTGTAACTAGGCGGGTTTTCGAAAAAACGCAATCGATTTGATTTTGAATGACGAACGTGAAATTTTTTCAATGGCCGTTTGTGCTGGTCGGTAAAGAAAACTTTTAACACTTGTTTCGCAAAAACTGATTTTATTTCCACTCGCGTTGCAAATATATCCCTTCGGGATATAGGCTTAACGATTTAAAGAAAATAAAAGATTTGTCCGACCAACACCGCGAAATGAATTTAATTTGCACGATACAAACTTTTTCCGACTAGTCACAAGGAAGGCAGGGAATTGACTGGTTAACGAGTATCTCCATGGCGCTGAGGCCCTACCCCTTCCACTATGTGGTTAGCATTCTCGGTATGGTCTTTCTATTGTCTGATCAGCTGACTATTTCTTCGCGTCTACTACATTAATTCGTTGTATAATACGGAATCGGTACAATGGATGAATAAAATAGTTGTTTACAGTATATGATGATCAAAGTATATGATGACAGACAATTCAATTCAAATATCTTTATTCATTTTTATGTACATTGGACAGTAAATAGTGTCAAAATAATTACAATAAATAATAGTGTCAAAATAATTCAAAAGGATAAAAACAGCAAAACATGAGGAATGGTTATAAAAACAATATATATTATAAATCTAGTATGATAATTTAACTATCATAGCAACTGAGGGAGGTAGAAAAATCTTCAAAAGAATAAATTGCCAAATTCATTAAAAACTCTTTCAATATTTTTTAAAATTTGTTTGGATCTATAATTCTTTTTTAATATTATCTATATAAATAATTTGGAATAAATTTTAAAAATCTATTACCTGCATAAAATGGTTTCTTTTCAAAAACTTTAGTCCTCTGCGGTTGTACATTTTCGTTCTTATTTCTTAAATTATACAGTAAAGAAAAAAATCTATAAAAATCCTTAAAATGTTCTTTAGCTGACTCATCACGCTGCAGCTTAAGCATGATTCTAACTGCTCTTTTTCGCTCCTTTAAAATGCTATCTAGATTACTTTTTTTAGCCATAGAGTGCTATGCCAAACGAGATATGTGAATGCACATGTGCAAAATATATACTTTTTTAAGTTTTCAAATCACAGTCAAAATACATACTTGATAAAGCAAGAATTCCGAAATTAATTTTATTTAAAATTTTGTGGACATGTTTATCCCAATTCAAGTGCTTAACCCAAAAATTGGTACTGGTACTAATTTATTCATCAATATTTTGTAAGTTATAGCTTATTGTTATTGGCTCCTGTCTATTTTGATTTGTCTAAAAAATTATAAATTTAGTTTTTTGTAAATTCATCATCAAGTTGTGGTTATTAAGATAATTCCCGATACTTTCCAATTCTTCATAAGCGAACATTTCTGTTTGCTCAATTGAGTTGAATGATATGATCAAATTCAAGTCATCAGCATACAGACATAGTATTGAAATTTTATTATATATTAAAGAATCTTTCATTCCACATAGATAGCACAAAAATCAGGGGCCCTAATATTGAGCCTTGTGGCACTCCAAAAACTATTGGCTTATAAGTTGAGCATGATTTAATAATTCTATTGTAATTTGTCAAGTGAGTGATTTCTACGCATTGAGATCTTTCAGTGAGATATGACGTAAACCAAATTAAGAGATTGTTTCGCTACTCCTAGTCTTTGAAGTTTTTCAAGTAGAATAGAATGCCTAGCACAGTAACGTAGCCAGGATTTCAAAATAGGGGGGGTCGACCGACCGGGGGGGGGGGGGGGTCCGGGGGTAAAATGGGGGTCCCGGAAAAATTTGACAAATATAGGCCCTAAAACGGCCTTTTTTAGCTCTCTTGGCATTGAAAATAATCAACCCCAACGTCAATACAGTATGATTGTATAATTTTACATTTAATTTAACAGAAAAATATTATATTTAAGACCGGAAGGGGGGGGTCCGGACCCCCAGGACCCCCCCCCTGGCTACGTCACTGCCTAGCACTGTCAAATGCCATATATAGGTCCATAAAAATACCAGTTGTACATTTTCCCTTATCAACCGACTCAATTACAGTTTCAATAAAAGATACAGCAGCACTAACAACTGATCTTCCATCCCAAAATCCATGCTGATTATCATCTAAAAGATTAAATTGTTCTAACAATTTTGAATTGAAAATTTTGACACCCAACCAAGTCATTTTGGCGAGGTCATTCTTCCTCCATTTCATTTCTTGGACTAAGGGTGATGGAATTTGGAATGTGCGATGGCTGAGAGTAAAGATTTTCCAGGGTTGTGGTCAGGAGGATGCTTTCATCTCTGTAGATGTTGCCAGTTTCGTTTAGTTTGGCCAGTTTCAATGTGGTAGATTAATTTGAAAATTGTAGAGCTGGTATAGTCTTCTTTTTGTTTAGGGGGGTATTTGAGCTAGCTTTGTAAATGATAACAATAAGGTAGCACAAGAAGCCTTCCTGAAGATTCCACACAAGCGGGTGATATACTGACTTACAACCCAAAAGCAAAGGCAACAAAGAAGTAAATGTAAAATAAGTTCCTGAACCTTGGATAGCAAACAAAAAGTTTTAAAGTTGATAAATGTACTTTAATTTAATTTAATTGCATGTTATTACTTAAGGACTTCTTCAGTTTCAAGGCGAGTAAAATTCCACGAGGAAAACAATATATTGTAAAATGCTTCAGGTACTTAATAATATAGTTGAACATTGAAGGACTGTTGTAATAAATGGATGCCAAAAGAAATGCAGCTAAACTAGAGCATTCTGTTATTAAAATAGCTTATTTCCTATATGGGAAATTCGCTAACACAAGCACACTAGCATACTATAAATAGTTGTTATAATCAATTTATATGTTCATTTTGTCATTAGTCCTTGTGAAAAATATAACCAAAGCAATGTCCTTGCCAATTGATGTATTATTCTAAGGGTAGAAACACACATACAGTGACTGGGAGTGGAGCGGAGCGGCGCGATTTAGAGTAACGAAATCAAACCTATACAATCAAGTATAGTGCTGCAGAGCGGAGCAGTTCACTTTGGAACAATCTCGTTTGTTTATCTAGCGTTTGGGAGCGGGGCGGGCAACGATCTTGTGGGCTCTGTATGCCCATTCTACCGGAAATGGAACTTACCCAGAGCGTTTTGGAACCTTCTCGAACCTTCAAACCTTCTTTTTTTGAAAGAATGTATTCAAAGGTCAAGGTAGATTGCATGAATCGCGATTAATGCTTCTTAAGAACTGGAAACAAATGGTGATATTCACCATGTACATCCCTTCCTCCACTCACTCCATGTATGCAACCACTCCGATCGGTTTGAAGCACGCAAAATTAATGTTTGTAGCCATGTGCTTTTAGCTGTGCTGCAAATTGCGTGTGAACTTACTATGTGATATCTTGGAAATGATCGAGCTCCCGTTCGTATCGCTCTCGCTAGTAGCTCGCTCACAGACGCGCCGCTACAGCTTGCTCTGGATTGCTTTGCCCGCTCCGCTCTGAATCACTGTATGTGTGTTTTACTCTAAATAGTGATGGATTTATACTGAAGTTGTTTTAATAGTCAAAGACGCTACTTTTGCCATATAATAACTACTACCCCTGGATTCCTTATACAATAGAATATTAGCTATATCATCGAACATCACGAAGGAGCTAGTGTTTAACACTAATGATATTTTATTGTAGGTAAAACTTGTATGTAATCAAAACAATTTTCTACAGATATATCCAGTTTCTGTGGCAGTTGGAGGTTTCATCAACACATAAAGGAAGGGCTTTTGAAAGATGTTCAGCTGATCTACAGGTAAACCTAAGTCTGTTTACTACTAACTTGTTTGTTTATAAGTAGTGAGATATACCAACTGATGTTAGTGTCATCAAGAGTTTAGCACTTTTCCTTCCACCTTGATTTTTATCAATGGGGGCCTACTGAAGTGCCACAGCCAATATTCATGTTTAAAGCGAGAGATGAAATAGCAAATTGCTTTTCAATGTGCTTTAATTTGAATACATTTAAAAACTAGTACAGTAGAGTCCCGCAAACTCGGCACTCGATAACCCGGCAGTCTGAATAACTCGGCCATCACCTGGCTCAGAAAATTAGTGATTTTTTTAGTCCGAGTTAAACATGGACACTAGTCAGCTCTAGTATAATCATTTGTAACTCGTACTAAGGATTTGTTGTACTATATCCTATAACTTAATATTGACTTGCAGTCAAGGGATATTTTTAATCAGCAATGTAATGGAAATAGAAAAAAATGTAAGTTTCGAACCACAGATAGTGAAATAATATAAATCTAATTAAAAAAGGCGGTTAAAAAGCTTAAAAATTGTATTGTTCATATTTTTAACTCTAGTTCCCGATAACCCGGCATTTCACAAACTCGGCACCCTTCCAGTCCACATTACGCCGAGTTTGCGGGACTCTACTGTATCTTAACAAGTACTCCACAACAGGAAACGGTGGTAGCATAATAAGATGGTAATTTTAAACTTAAGAAATTAGTTGTAAGGTTTAAAATAAAGTGGTTTCTATAATCACGAAAGGATAAAGTTTACATTACAGTTTGTTAATATGCAATTGATAATCTTAGCATTTGTTGCACTTCACATAGTTTGTATGACAAGTTTCTTTGAAAAAGATCGAGCTCAATTGGTTGAAAAGTAGAATTGAATAATGAACAAACAAGTTTGGAATTCTGTAGGCCTAATTGAAATAGTTCTTGTTCTTAACTCAACAAAAGTACCTAATTAACATTATTTTAACAACTTTGGGTGCATAGTTATGGTGGTTTGAATATTTGTAGTCCAGTTGGCAGTTATTGATTGTATTCATTAGCTTAGTATGGGAGTAACACAGAAAAGCTGCAGGAGCTGTTTATGCCACTTCAGTATAAGCAACCGCAAATGATAAATTGTAATAATGTTTCAGGTATCACCGATAGCAGGCGCAATAATTGAGGGTATTGCAACATGCCTGTGTAGACTAGCCTCTAGAGCTATTGGAGAAGTGGGGCCAAAGTACGCTGCCGCTTACGACTCATTTGTAGGAACCTCGTTGGTTGTTGCTGGTAAGTCATTAATTAGGGTTAATTAACTTTATGAATACATTAAAACATTGTATGGCTTGAAAGTCAATTAGTTTTTAATTCTTATTTTTCTCAACCTTAGATATTTGTACACCTAGTAGCATTGAGAAAATACAATTTAAAGGAGAAAAACAGGAATATTCAAAAGAAGAAATGTTTTACTTATTTTCTAGACAACGTTTTTAAAGCTTTACAGTTTTTAAGGAATATGATATGAACTGGTTATTGACGAGACAACTTTTATATTAAATGTTCTGAAATGTTGGAGGAGGCCTGAGCTTCACCACTTTTATTCCCACATTTTATCTCAGGAAAACTTTTTAAAATTATTCTTTGGTTATACATTTCCACTGCTCTTTAACATTTGCTTTTTCCTTTGAAGCATTTAACTACTCTGGAGGCTACTTCAACCCTGTGCTGGCGAGTGCTCTCAAGTTCGGCTGCAAAGGCCACACTCACTCCGAGCACGTGTTTGTCTACTGGATTGGAGCTTGCACTGGAGCAATCTTATCCGTCTTCCTCTACCACAACTCTAGGATACAGTCTATTATAAACAAATTTAAAGTTAAAACCGACTGAGACTCAAAAATTCCATTTTTTATACTTAAATTTTCTTATCTCTCCCAACATGCTTTCTACCAAGGTTGCAAATGTGATTACTTGACTTGTTAAACAATAAGCTCAATCATCTGTTGGATTGTTTTACTGTACATATTTCAGTAGTACTACAATCACAAATGAAATAAGAGTGCTCTTTTAATAATTTATTTAGTATTTAAGATTCTTGTAAATATAAGAGTCAAAGATAGAAGTGAAATTACAAACTTTTAACAATGATTCAATTATTTTAACTTAGTCAGATAAAAAATACCATCTGCTTATACATCTAGTCCTTCCGTAAACAATATTTTACATTTCTTAAGTAAGTATTAATTATTAATATTCATAGTTAAAATGACTTACTGTTAAGGTGTACAAGTACAAGTTATTACAAGTACCTTATACTGTTTTCACAAAATTAATCTTTATAAAACTTTTTTGATTGGTTACTGTGTTGTACACATTGTCCTAATATTCCTCCTTCCTACTCTTCAACATGTGAGATTAAAACTGATTAATTTCATGTCGTTTAAACGTTAACATTTGCCTCCTTATTAGACAATCTTGAATCTACTCACAAGAAAACACTGAATACAAAAATTAAATGACAATAAAACATCAAGAAGTAATACTTTGTGGTGATATTCTAAGTACTGTACAAAATGTCAGCTGACATTCTTAATGTTTTAGTCAGATTTGTTTATTTATTCTGTTTAATTCTTGTATTCAGTTTTGCTTAATAAATTGTAATAAACCTTTAGAAAATAAAACTTAGGTTTTATTAACCCTTTAGAGTGCCAGGCGAGAAATAAAAGTAACGCTCAAAAAATGCCGATGATTTTTCCCGAAGGTCGCGCTAAAAATGCCGAGCGCGATCTGGCGATTTTTAGGTTAACATTTCGTAAAAATCAAATTTTCGATATTTCGACCAACGAAAATCGATGTATCGCATCTAGTAACTTTCGACTCAATGTTAATATATGGGTTAAAAGAATCCGAGTATCCATTCGGTTGTTATGACAACTGTTCGATCATTACGAAACGTCCGGCTGACCGGACGTCGGCACTTTTGGCTCGTTTTAAAAACGTCCGGTTCCCCGGACGTTGGCACTCAAAGGGTTAAGCAAAACTGAATACAAGAATTAAACAGAATAAATAAACAAATCTGACTAAAACATTAAGAATGTCAGCTGACATTTTGTACAGTACTTAGGAGAAACTATCCCTACTTGGCTGACTATTCCAGGAAAAGTTCTTATGAAGAAGCACATAAGAGGCAGTAAGTTTGACCCACTGGTCGAAGAGGTTGAAGTAATTGAGACAAACCCAAAATATTCTTTAGTCCGCAATAAAGAAGGAAGAGAGTCAATTGTGTCCTTAAGATATCTAGCACCAAGAGAAAAAGTAATGCAAAATCCAACAAATCTTACTTATGAAAACGAAGACGGTGATGAACAGTTGCAACAAAACACTACCTTGTCAAAATCGCTCCTTCTGGAACAGAACACTACTTCGTCACAACCGCTCCTTCAAAACTATACAGATTTATGTTTACCACCAGCAACGTCAGATGGTGTTCCTGAAAATGATGAACATCAAACCAGCAGCACTCCTTGCAATCAACCTCATCCCTTTGTGTCACCACGTCGGTCAACCAGACCAAAGGTGTTACCTAAGAAATTTGATGTGTATAAAATTTACTAGAGCGGAAGAATGTGGTGATATTCTAAGTACTGTACAAAATGTCAGCTGACATTCTTAATGTTTTAGTCAGATTTGTTTATTTATTCGGTTTTATTCTCGTATTCAGTTTTGCTTAATAAAACCTAAGTTTTATTCTCTAAAGGTTTATTACATACTTGCTATAAATACTTAATTGAGCGGACTCCGTAAATGTTTGCAAGCAAACACCTCTTAGAGGATTGAACATGGAGCTAAAGACTGAGCAGCTACTTAAAACTCCTCCAGGAATCCACCCCACAGTTCTTAAATTTGTAATAACAGTAATTCTTATGGAAGAAATTTTAAACAATATACAATTCTGAATCAACCACTTGACGGATTTTCATGGTTTTGTGTTGAAAGAAAGATAATTTGAAACCTAGGGAATGTCGAAGCCATAATTTTAGATTAGGGTTTCAGTTTTTTAGAAATTAAGATTTGATTTTTTAAGTCTAGCAGCCGACGCTAACATTCTAGATTAGCTTTTGGTATAAAACCATTTGCTTAACTAAGAGCTGTAAACATTCAGAGTCAAAATCTAAAACGTTTGGCTTGTGCTCATGTGTGGTTACATTTGGGTGCGCTGATGTAGGCAAAATATCACCTTTTTTCAACTAAAGATCTTATAGTTTGGATAAATGAATATGTGAAATTAGGATGTAGGCTACATAGATTCAATGGTAGTGGGTAATTGTCACAGATATTAGAACGGATAATGGTATGGATGATAAACATAGACAAATTATGTCACTCGCTTACTACTGTAGAGAGTTTACTTTATCAAATTCCTTCCACAGATGACAAGTTCTTTTTTGAAATAAATGTTAGTTTATCTAAAAATCTGTTAAAAAAACTATCTGTTATTGTTTTTACTTTTCTTTGTTTACTAATTTATTTAGCAGTTAATGCAGTAAAATTGATACAAAGGATAGGTATGGACGATTTATTTAACACGTTCGCTACTGCAATAGTACGAAATTTTCCATTCACATGGACCAGCGACGCACATATGCGACGGCCGGTTTCCACCCATGGACTGCCGTCGCATATATACGACGGCTAGTCACATTAAAATAGACTGCCGACGCATATTTGCGTCGGAGTTCTAATGTTATTAAAATGCTTATATCTTTGTAGTGGTCTATTTGAAGGCACTGAATTCCCTGCAGTGGTCTACAGAGATGTCTGACGCACAACTGCGTCGCTTGGTCTGTGGATATGATGATTGGTGACGTCATATAATAGTTGGAAAAACTGGTCTTTACTTTTCTGCATCACTGTATGTATGTATGCAGTATGTATGCTGCATTATCCTATGTAGCTTTTATATTTGTTCAGTTATAAACTGTTCTTGAATAATCTGTTTATTTCTTTACTTACTTTCACCTTAAAACACAAAAAAATGAACTGTCGCATATATGCGACGTTTAGTCTATTTCAAGAAAACTATGATAATTTTCATTATTGTCTTCGCTGTAGACCGGGCGTCGCAAATATGCGACATTACAAAAGTTTATAAAAAATACAAATAAACAAGAATAATTTATTTACAAACACCATTGTAGCGTATTACAATGTAAATGATCGCTGTTTTACAGGTTTTCGCCCGTGGTCTGTGTGTACTGTTATCCAAGTGACAGTCGGTCTATGTGTAAGATTCAAATGTATACCTCGGTCTGTGGCAATGACCGCGGCGTCGCATATATGCGACGCTCAGTAGCAAACGTGTTAATAATGTCAGGACTATGTTGGCATACCAAATTTTTGGTTGGTCAATGTCAACCGGTGTAGTAGGTCTCTATAAAACCGTCCAATAAGCTGCAGGGTGTCAGTATATACCAAACTGGATTCATATCATACCATATTATCCCAGTAGTGCATGGTTCAGAAACCTGGGCACTGACGAAAGAACCGAAAACCTTATTGCTGGGTTTAAAAAATAGAGTGCAGAGAAAATATACGGACCTTTTATGATAACGGAGGTTGAGATACAAAAGAACAGAGAGCTAAGAGGAATATTTAAACACCCAAATATGCGTGGAGGAGAGAAGATACATTAACTTTTAAAAATGAATTCCAATGAGTACCACAAATAAGACGACCATTTTCAGGACCAAGAAATGAAAGACTTCTCCAGACTGGGATCAAAATTAGCAGAGGCAAGGGATAGAAGATAATGGGAGGCCAAAATCCTCTTAAGTTTTCAGTGGGCACTGAGGTAAAATAAGGTACGGTTAGTGAAATGATAATATGCAATTAAAGGTGGTATGTAGCTGATGTACTTTAAACCAGTGTGTGTGAATCAACCGCGACCGCCAATCTAACTTAAAGGCTTTTCAAATCGACACAATTTCAGTTTTATTGTAAAATTATCGGATTTCAAATGCGTCATAGACAAAAAGAATTATAAATAGACTGTCAGCCGTGCTGCGGTTACCATTGGTTACGTTGCACGTACGCCGTATGGTAACCGCAGCACAGCTGATGGTCTATATTTAATTCTTTTTGTCTATGGTATCGTATAGGCCTGTAATCGGATGAAAACAATAGATGGTTATGTGGTATTAGTTTACAAGGTGATGATCCCTATTAAAACTGTCAGAATTTTTCTTTAAGCGTGTAAACTAGCAGTTCTGAATTATATTCAGTTTTTATCTACTACTTGATTCCCGTACGTAGGACGAGCTAACCAGCTAGTATGTTTAAAAAAATTTATTTGTAACAGCATTTGAAATGGCCTGTTATTATTGACTTAGATAGCAATGAATTCCGTGAAAAATTTAATATTCAAAATAAAACTGAGGCTGTTAAGGAATGTCGTAATATTTTAAAGCAACATTACTTCTACTGTACTGGTATAATTTAATTTTAGTGGCAAACCAACACAAAAAACCACACCGCTCCAGAGGTTTTCAACATTTTTCCAGTTTTTAGAACAGCAATTAATTTTTTACGAGAAGTTGGAAATATTTGTTTAAATCACTTGTTTTGTGTTTAAAACAAAACCTAAAACCTTTTTGTTAACATCAATTGTTGACAAAAAAGGTTTTAAACCTGTGTAGTCGCAGCTTTTTGGTTTGTTGTAACTAGCTTAAACTATATTTTAAATACACTTTCATATTTCCAAAAATAATACGTAATTTATCCATTTGGAAAATAAATGATAAAGATTTATTTATTGATTTATTGTTGTTTATTGGTAGAGGAATCAAAGGAAATTTTGCATATTTTCTTATGTAAGTGTAAGTGGAATATACTTTTCAAGTCGCTGACATTATGTGTACGATCATATTAATTGGTGTAAAATATAGCCTAAATATAATATTATAGTTGAAACGTTTCTGATTTTATTTCATAATACCATATACTTTTTACCTAATAACATTATTGGCACTTAACCCGCTTACAAACACATTCGTAACAATAACAAGGGGAGTTTTTATGCTTTTGATGTTTAAGCTCGTTTGCGACTTCCAACCATTCTGAGTCGTGGAAGTCTAAATTCTTGACCTTTCTGTTCCTAGACAACGAAATAAAACCATGACTAACTTTATTACCAGGTGGAAGTTCGATTACCAATTTAGGGTTTTTTGGTTCTCTGTCAAAATACTGCGAGTGATATTTCTTTTTACCTAAGGATTGTTTCCCATCCAGAGAATGTGAGTTGGATCTACATTTTCTTATTTCTATTACAGTTTTTGGCTTATTTCTATGATAATTGCCATCT